CAATCGAAAGCATTTACCAAAGGAGAAAGTAACAAGAACAAGACGGAACAAGAGTTAACAGCTATTCATTTTGCAATCACCAAATTCAGACCCTATATCTACGGAACTCATTTCATAGTAAAAAGTGCTAGCACAAGCCCACAATCGAAAGCATTTACCAAAGGAGAAAGTAACAAGAACAAGACGGAACAAGAGTTAACAGCTATTCATTTTGCAATCACCAAATTCAGACCCTATATCTACGGAACTCATTTCATAGTAAAAACAGACCATAGACCATTACCATTTTTTTTTCGATGACAAATCATAGTTCTAAATTAACGCGTATGAGACTTGAATTAGAGGAATATAATTTTACAGCAATTTTTACATTGCAAAACCCTTGGCCAAGGTTAAACGACATTATTACTGAAAAGAAATGACTCGTGACAAAACAAAGTACATCCAGAAATGTCAAAAGGCAAAAAGAACAAAAAATGTAAAGACTCCTTTAACAATTACCGAAACCCCGATGAATGCTTTTGACAGAGTGATAGTGGATACGATCGGTCCACTACCAAAGTCACAAAAAGGCAATGAATATGCAGTCACGCTCATATGTGACTTGACCAAATTAGTTACTATACCTGTTGCCAACAAAAGCGCAGCAACTGTTGCAACAGCAATATTTGAATCATTTATTCTGAAGTACGGTCCAATGAAGGCGTTCATTACGGACATGGGACCAGAATACAAAAACTCAATTATAGACAATTTGTGCAAATATTTAAATATTAAAATAAATATTTAAATATTAAAGGGCATAGAACTTTTAATGAATACATACGATCTTATATTAGGTTGTCAAAAAAGTCTTGCGGGATTTTTATTGAATTTTCAATTGTTCATAAAATTGGTTCCAATAATGCGATTCATGTCAAATATGCGCCGTTTTGTTCGATGACGCGTTCCAAAAAAAAAAAAAAAGTTTAAAAAACTCGGAGGGCCAATATTCACAGGACTCTCTTGAGCTCCCGGAGCTTCTGGCGCGTCACTAAAGATGTGTGTGGCCTGGCGTTGTCCTGGTTGAAGACAATTCGGCCTCTGTTGATCAAAGATGGCCTCTTCTGCATGAGTGCTGTCTTCAAGCGGTCCAGTTGTTGGCAGTACAGATCCGAATTGAGCTTTTGGAAGAAGAACCTTCCTGGCTTCCATTCCCAGCTCTTGACCGATGCTACGGCTGCTACTATGCCGGTATCTTTCGACCAATTCAGCGATTTTATCGCAATTTTCGACGACAGGCCTTCCGGAGCGTGGCGCATCTTCGACCACCTCTACACCAGAACGAAAACGTTGATACCATCGTTGTGCGGTGGATATGGAAACTGTATCCGGTCCATAAACTGCACAAATTTTATTGGCGGCTTGAGATGCAATTTTGCCTTAATCGTAGTAGTACTGTAAAATATGTCTTATTTTCTCTTTATTTTGCTCCATGATTGCGACGCTATAACTCACGAACGACTTAAAAGAAAAGACAATCAATCAAACACGTGTTAGCGCATGAAATCAGCTTTCCAAAAAGGTATAGTACAAGACTTTTTTGACAAACTAATATTACAAGAAATTTGTTAAATGGTTTGGGAAAGCCGTTGATCATTTCAGTAAACTTAAAAATGCTGTGAGCAGTCTGAGATTTTAGTTCTTCAACAATTTAATCAGCGTAATTACTGATTTAAAAAAGCTTAAGTTATCTTACTTAAAAATGATTTAAAAATATATGTCGAAGACCGTCGGGGTGCTTTTTCTATATTTTCGGGACAGCACAGCGAGTCATGGCCGTTTTGACTCATCAAGCTCAACTGACTATTTCACCAAACACTTGTGTCGTATGTACTCTCAAGTCTCATTTATACATACATTACATTCCACAAGTCCCGCCAAGCATCCACACAGGATCTTGGTGCAGTCTTTTGCAAACAATTAATCTTATTTCATAACTTAAATTTTGCATTCAATCTGGTTTGTAAACACATGCACCCAATTATCTTGACCCCCGCCATTACACTTCTGATCCCTGTGAGACAGCTGTTATAGTGCTGTCATCATTTCCCCTCTTGGGTCTTATTTGTTCATAACTACTTACAATAAAACTTCTAAGCAATATTATTCAATATTAATATTACTGAGTACTTGCAATATGCTACAAAACGAATCGATACTTATACCATTTAGGGTTACAACATTATAAAATCTCTTTTCCGGTAAATTTTTTCCGCAACACTCTCCTTGAGCGAGCATTCGGCTCTAGGATCGATTATTCCACTTCCACAATGATTCCAATTGGTGTAGCTACTGTTCAAATGTTATTTCTATTTTCATAGCTCTTGCAATTTCCACTAGTACGACCTTTAAGACATACTGAAGCCACATGTCCAATTCCGTCACATTTATAGCACCGCTGCTCGGGGTGTAATTTTTTTCCGCTGTGTCTGATTCCTTCTACAATCGAGAGCGACATTCAGCACAATTGTGGCCAGCCCTTCCACAAAAATCGCATTCCTTCTCCGACTGCATTCATAATTGTTTTTATCCGAGCCAGTCGAATATCCACCCTCGTTGTTACGTTTTTTGAAGGCAACGCAACAAATTAGTGTAAATTTGTGTCACGTGGTCCAAAGCTACTGATACGGAAATTTCCTACAAGTTCTTTGCTTTCCATTTAGAAAACAATAGGTTGACGATACGACTGCCATACCCAGCAAAATTTTCTACAGATTCTGGACGCCCGTTCAAAATGTTGATCAGTATAGCAGCCATTGTCTCAATGCCCACGATGCATTTTTTTAAAGATTTTTTTTCAGTTTTTCATGATTTGTGGGCGTTATAGTGGGTATGGCTCAAGAATCTGCTTGCTTAAACTCAACTTTGAATCTCTTATAGTTTCAGCGTTCATACGGACAGACCGATATGGCTTAATTGCTAAAGTCGACGGCTATTCGATGAATCTGCTTACAAAGATAAAAGTGAGTAAGAAATAAATGCAAGCTGAAGAGAGAGAGGCGAAAGCTTTGGAAGATAAAATCTTTAAGCACTGATGGCTCCTTTTGCATAAATTATTATTATTAATTAAAAATATAGAACAAAACAAACAGAAGCCAATGCCATTTACATTAAATAATTTTTCCTTTTACTTGATAAATCCAAACTTTCTATCATAGGTACCGAGATCTCAGAGTTTCTACAAAAAGCGGAATTCGAGATTGATGAAAGTAAGAGTGGGCATGGCCGGATAATGGTATCACCTTAAGATACGCTGCCATTTCAAGAATATATATGGTCAATGTAGCGTTTGCTTTTTGAACCATCGATAATTTTGACTTTGACATTTCGAATGTCATTGCCAATAAGACAGATATCTAGTAGAAGGTTTGCGGTTTACGAAATGGTTAAGTTTTCGCTCGAAAAAAATCAAAAAGATTACGGTCAAAATTAGGAGAAAAATAAAGCGATTTCCAGGCAGTTTGTGAATAGTTTTGAGAGGCGTGTGAGTGAGACTGGATAGTTGATGGATAACGTGCTCGTCCAGTTCGGTTGGCCGAAACTGTCAATGACAATCCGTCGACGTCAACTCGGCACCGTGCTCCAGAGTTTGAAATTTCGCGCACTTCCCTGCAACGGATTTTAACCAAAGTCTTAGGCCATATAAGATTCAGTTGGTTCAGCAGCTTAAGCCGCATGGCCATCCTATGCGTTTTCGGTTCGCGGAATGGGCTCAGGAGCCCATGATGATGACCATTTTTACCGAATAATCGTGTTTTCTAATGAGGCCCATTTCCACCTCGGTGTTAATAAGCAAAACTGTCGTCTTGAAGAAGCCACAACGAGTGATTGCTTAATAGTGTCCGCTATCTTGGCATGTTGGAAGACTTTTTCTTTCTCTGGATGGAAGAGGAAGACAGGGACGACATATGATTCCAGCAGGACGGCGCTATCTGCCACACAGCCAACGTCACAATCGATCTTTTTTAAAACGCAAATCTTTCGTGGGCCACCCTGTAAATGTAAGTATACCCGTTACTCGTAGAGTAAAAGGGTATACTAGATTCGTTGAAAAGTATGTAACAGATAGAAGGAAGCGTTTCCGACCCTAAAAAGTATATATATTCTTGATCAGGATCAATAGCGAAGTCGATTGAGCCATGTCCGTGTGTCCGTCCGTATGAACGCTGAGATCTTAGGAACTATAGCAGATACAAAGTTGAGATTAAGCATGAAGATTCTTGAGGTCCCGGGACAGCGCAAGTTTATTTCAGCATACTTCCACGCCCACTCTAACGCCCACAAATCACGATAAACTAAAATAGCTGAAATCTTGAAAACTATTAGAGCTAGAGCTAGTATAAACTTTGGATGCCAGCGCTTCTTTTAGCTCAAAAGACGGTTTTCGCATTTTCAAGAAAACCTGCTATCTCGGTAACTATAAGTCATAGAAAGTTCGGATTAAGCATGTACATTTTTATGATGCCCCAAATGCGAATGGTTTTTTTCCATCTAGCCACGCCCACCCTAACGTCCACAAAACCCGAAAAACCAAAAATACAAAAATCTCGGGAACGAAAAGAGCTAGAAAGTTAGGCTTAAGAACACTTATTTTAGGGATGCCGCTGCAACTTCCCACGAGTTCATCTGGCCACGCCCACAAGCCGACCTTATATAACTTATTTCTGTTAATATCTTTCGATTTACCAAAGACTTATGATGAAATTTAGGTTATAAGGCCTCACATGGTTTGTGAATTCACTAGCAATTACTCAACAGGGTAATTTCCACTAGCAAAATGAATATTTTAAAATTGTGTAAAACAGTAACGGGTATCATATATTCGCGGCACTCGACTATAGCGTTTGCTCTTGTTAAGTTTAAGAAGTTGATTAATTCAATTATTAAATATGTTTATATCAATGCCTAAAATATTGCGTTTTAATTTTTTAACAAATATGTACAATACATGTACTCACAGTGGAAATTGGCATATGACAATTCCATAATATTCTCAACGAAAAAAATAATACGACGGACACAAAAATGATGATAAATATGCGCTTATGTGTCGAGACCATGTCTACATGGAGGGCGTTTTGTTCTGTAGAAATGGTAGCAGCCTAAAATTTGAATGATCAAAGAATATTGAATATTACTTATGTTTATACTTTCCGATATATGTATGTATATGCATATGTACTTATGCCCGTGTACCTACAAATGTATAAAAGTCCCACCTTGACCATTATCCATTCATATGTACATATGTATGTACATATGTTTATCGGAACAAGTGCTCACCAAATTTTAATGCAAGACAAAACAGGTACTCTTATTGAAACATGTATAATATCCATCAATTTAAAATTAGTCTTGTTGTTTCGCCTATTATGACCCCTTTAATTAATTGAATTTATGAAAACTTTTAATGCAAGATATGTGTAGTATAAGTCCAAGTTAGAGGTGGAAAATTATCGGTGGCACTATCGTGACTATCGACGGTTGGGTACTATCGAACGACAATCGATGGCAGCAGAAACCTTTGTTTTGGCCCATCAACAATCGATGGTGCCATCAATAGCGCGCGTTTCACGTCGCTAAACATTTTTTTACTCCTATTAAAAGTAAAATAGGAAAATATGGATAGCTTTTTACAACGAGGTATGTTTAATATATTATTATATTTTTATATATATATTATATATTTTAGTCGATAGTGTTTAATTTAAGGTAAATGTCGAGTGTACGCCTCAAGTACCGACAAGCAGGAGCGACTCTGAAAGGGATTCTGAACCAGATAGGCAGAGTACAACAAAAAAGTAAAATTGTAAATTTCAAAATATAGTTTAAGAGGCCCGACGACAATGCCTCAAATGCCTCGACTACGGCAAAGAATATCAACAGACTTAATATTAACTTATATTATCGTGCCCAGTCATTTTTGTTTCCCAAGAAGACCTGCTCTTGATTGAAAATAAATGATTATTCATGAAACCTCGGCTTGAGAGAATTTGTATCTAAAGAAATTAAAAGAGATTATCAAAAGTAAAGAGAATCGGACAATTGGCTGATGCAATAATTGAGAGTCAATAAATCGATACTCGACAATAATTGGGTTAGCAACTGGCTCCGACTAGATCGGACCCTTCACGGAAAATTTGGGAGCTTTGTTTATGTCTGGCGACATTTGCCTGTAGTAGTCCGGATGTGATTCAGGCCCTGGCTTGAGTTAGGGGAGATTTTGCTAGCAATGCTAGAATCAGCGCTTGCTAAGATTGGAAAGAGTCATTTGTTTATGTTAGTCCGAATTTGTTTCTCACAGGGCTCGGTTTAAGTGAGAGGAACTTTTGCTAGCGAAGCTAGAATTTCCTAAGGTCTGAATGTTTACGGGATGGATAACATGCACGACCACTTAAAAAGGTTTCATCGTGACTTGTGAAGTAAAACTAGATGAAACGCTATAGTCGAGAGCCGCGACTATAAGATACTCGTTACCGCTTAACACAATTTTAAAATATTAATTTTGCTAGTGGAAATTTACAAGGACCCACCTATTGTCAGAGGAAGCATGTTGAGTAACTGATAGAATATCCTAACTTTCTTTAAAATATCGAAATAATTTCCGATTTGAAAAATCTTTGGTAAATCGATAGATATTGACAAAAAAATATGCCTTCGGAACACTAGTTGATATCGTCGCTTGGTTAGCGATATCAAAGACAACAAGAGTGTGTTGGACATAGTGTTTAGATCTGAGTCGCCACTTGGGCCTCTGCTGTAGATGTGCTCCCGACTCCAAGCCTTCCAGAAATGACGTACCATAGCCACCATCACGACCTGCTCCGCGAAGGACCTAGATTGTGGGCGCAACTCAGGAGGTGCATGCAGCGAGTCACCAATCAAGAAATGAGCCGGCGTGAGCACCTCTAGGTCGTCTGCGTCCGCTGTGAGAGGACGAAGCGGCCGCGAGTTGAGACATGCTTCTATGCTTATAAGCACCGTAGTCAACTCCTTATAGGTGAGCCGTCGATCCGCAATGACCCTCTTCAGGTGATGTTTCACCGACTTCACGTTAGCCTCCCACAGCCCGCCGAAATTGGGCGACTGCCCAACAAAGTTGGTTCCATTGTCACTGTAGAGGTGCTGAACCATCCCTCTCCTCCCGGTGAACCTGTCCAGCGCCAGCAGAAAATGCTCCGTGGTGAGGCCTGTCACCGCTTCCAAATGCACTGCCTTTGTTGCAAGGCAAATGAAAACGGCGATGTACTCCTTGTAGAAACTGGTGCCTCGGAACCGTGCTGCCTTGAGCTTAATAGCCCCTGTGTAGTAAACTCCCGTTGCAATGAATGGACGACTAGGGGGTTCACTCGATGAAGCGGCAAGTCTCCCATGAGCTGAGCCAAAGCGGAGGGCTGCGCCCGGAAACACTGGACACATTTCCGCACAACTCTTCGAACTGCCTGCCTTCCTGTCACTATCCAGAACCGCTGGCGGGTGTGCGCTAACGTCAGCTGCGCACCTCCGTGCAGAGTCAAAACGTGCGAGTGGCGAATTACCAGCTCAGTGAAATGATGGGAACTTGGGAGTATTATTGGATGCCGGCGCTCATATGGCAAGTTAGAATGCCGTAGTCACCCCCTCACTCGCAGGATGCCTTCCGACAAGATCGGCGACAAGCTCAAGAGCTTACTTCGCGCGGGTAGCCGTCGTCCATTGGGAACGATTCCCGCTGCACGATGCGCACTATAGCCCCTAAAGCAAAGTCAAGCTCTACAATGGCTAAGGGGCCGATGCGCCTCTCTCCCTTACCGACAGCATTGTGCCTGAACCGCAACGCATAGGCCGTGACTCGTACAGCCCGGCTAAAAGTAGAAAATCTGCCAACGAACGACGGAAGCGGGACTGCGTGGTGAACTCGTACTTTGGCCGCCTTTGCCTCTAGTGCGGCATCGTTGGTGTCGACCTGCTCGAACTCCATAGAAGGCCAGTCACTCGGACTGCGTATAAGCCACTCAGGGCCTCGACACCATAGGCCAAAGCCCTTCAATTCACCCGGAGACAATCCTCTTGTCGCACAGTCCGCTGGATTCTCAGCCGTGCCCACATGCCTCCATTGCGAGGGCGAAGAATGATCCAGAATGAACGCGACCCTGTTGGCCACGAACGTCTTCCACCTAGTGATGTCCCCGTACAGCCAGTGGATTGTGGCATCCGTCCAGTAGAACGATTCGAGCCAAAGTAAGCCATTTTACCAGCTTGACGGCCAAAACTGCGCCACTCAGCTCCGTTCTAGGTATAGTGAAGGGCCTTGTGGGAGTCACCCTTGACTTCGAGGCCAACAGTGAGCTATAGCATGCTCCGTCCTCGCACTCGATCCTTAGGTAGACCGAGGCCGCATAAGATGTCGATGAACCGTCGCAGAACGCGTGAAGCTGAGCTGACACTATACATCCAGGGGAATAATGAATCCATCGGTCTATGCTTATGTCGTCGACCATCAGCAACCCGTTTCGAAACGTTCGCCACCGTTCTACGAGGGCGTCCGGAACCTCGTCGTCCCACTCCAGCGCCGACTGAGTGCCATCCGCATGCATTTTCTTTGCCATGGTTACCTCCTTTAAAATCAGCTTTCCCACGATGATGACTGGTGCGATAAGACCCAGTGGATCAAACAGCCTAGCTATGCTCGATAGAATCATCCGTTTGGTAAACCTAGCTGGAATCTCAAAATTGACTTGAAATTTAAAACAGTCCTTATTCCGGAGCCAATACATCCCTAACACCTTAATAGGATCCGTAGTGTCCCAGTTTAAAGGAGTCCGGCTGCACTGATGCTCCGCAGGAATAGAGAGCAAGAGACTGGACTCGTTGCTGGACCATTTCCGCAACTCCATGTGTCCGCTTATCCCTTGCTTCCTCCAACGTGTGACTTCCGAAAGAATATCATACACATATATTTCGCTCATCTGATGCGATCTTCCCAGAACCATAGTTGGATCAATGTAAGTTTTGAAGGGCAACCGTACCACGTAACGGCCATCCGATCGACGAATATGTGTCTTCTGAAAGAAGGCTTCGCACCAGAGGTCCCCCTCCGATGTGAGAGAACGGTCCGGAACGGCCTCCACCTCGCAGAAACGCTTGAGCAAAGCTTCGGTGTCCAAGAGTACCCGATGACACCGAACCTGAATCGCTTCCCGCACTCCGTCCGCCAAACCAGATAGGATCCACCCAAGGTGAGTGTTCTGAGCTATAGGCTCGCCGGGCAGCCCGATCCTGGTGTCCGGCAACATGATTTGCGCCAACAGGTCCACACCCAAGATGAGGTCGACTCGCTTCGATCGTAAGAAGTTCGGATCCGCCAGCGGGAGCCCTCGTATAAGGCCCCAACGCTGAGGCATGAAGCTGCGATAAGGAAGACAGGAAGTAACTGAATTGAGGATATACGCGGAATCAACGTCTACTGAAAAGTCAGGGTTAACATTATTACGGATTTCAAAATTGACAGTATACTTGCACCGACGACCGCCCCCAGATGCAAGGCCTGTACCACGTCCTCCGAGACAATGGTTGCCTCCGATTATTGGTCGACCAGGGCATTTATGACAGCGTGCAGTCCGTTGACCGGGTTCCGCACGGCGATATGAACAGTAGCGAGAAGGACATTTCTCGAAGACGGATCCGATGACGTTGCTGAATAGCATCCGTAAGATGCGCCGAGGTTCCGGTCTGCGCTGTTGAGATACGCTCTCCCTGTCTGCAGGTGCACTAGGAGTCGGCGCCACATGTTGCGGCGGCACACCGCTCGGCGACTGGCTATGAGCCAAAACAGGGAAATGCAACAATGTGTGAGCCTCGGTTCTCAATCGCATCCATTACAACCAGCCGATCGTTTAAAAATGACTCCAACTCTCTGTAGGGTGGAACTGTGGAAAAACTTCCTTGATGGTGCTCCCAAGCGTTGTGGGTCTCCTTTGGTAGCCTCGATGCTACGTAGTGTGCCAGCCAGTGCTGCGATTCCCCGTTCAAGGCTTGAACGCGGCGAAATGCAGCCAGATTAAACATGCTTAACATCGACCGTATTAACTTTGTGTTGTCCTTCTATAGCCTAGGCAACGCGTATATGGCAATCATGTGGTGGGCAAAAACGAGGCGAGGATTGTTGTACCTCTTGATCATCAATCCCCAAGCCACCGAATAGTTCCCTTCCGTGAGCTGCATCTGACGTATGTCATTATCGCGGTCCCTCGGCAGCGACTCCTTGAGAAACTGCAACTTCTGCACACTACTCAGATTGGCGTTGTTGTGGATTAGGCTCGTGAAGGAATCATAATAGCCTGGCCAATCGACACACGCGCCTGAGAACTTCGGAACCGACATCTGGGGCATGTTCAGCCGCACTTCCGCATCGGCGCCCCCAGACAATGGCGGCGGAGGCGTACAAGCCTCTGGTCCAAGTTTGTCCAACTCCTCCGCGAAAG